ACTGTTCATCAGCTGAGACTTGGATGAGGACACAGAGCCAAACCTGAAGAAAAACACCATTGGAGTTTGTGCTCTGTAGACCGGCTGGGTTTGACTGATGATCTCATTGTTGGAGTTTTTCATCTTCCAGCTCTTGTTGATTTGTCTGAATGTCCAGAGAGGAAACTCAATCTGTTGTGTGAATGGATCAGGAACAAGCAGAGGCAGAGCGTACTGACACTGGGACAGTTTAGTGACCATCAGCTGCTTCAGGAAACCATCAGCACAATGAAACACGGCCATCTGAACATCCATCGAGTGAATTTGCTCAGATTGACTTGTTCCTTCATTAGACGAAAACATTTCTTCGAAAATGTCACACTCACATTTAGATGAGTCATCATGTCTTTGTTGTATCTGATCTTGTTCATTGGGATCTCTAACAGTAATGTATCTTGCTCTGTAGTCCATCATCAGTAGTTTTTGTATGAAAGTTTGAATCAGCTCCTCTTCAGCACAAGAGTCATTGGACTGTAATGAATGTTTACTTATCTGAAGAACATCTGCAGCTCTCAGTTTATGATCATTCCTGCCTTTAAGATGAAGTCTGTCAAAGAGTATTTTTGAGCCTGTAATGATTTCTTTTTCTGTTTGATCTGGTTTCTTTGTTTCTGTTCTAAGCTCTTCTGCAGGTCCCTGTGAAAGAAAAGAATAGTATTTTAATTTATGTGCAGCCTAATTTATTATTATTATTATTATTACTCAATTTGAACAAGTGAACCATTTAATGATATGGTGAAAACCAAACATTTCAGGCAGAAAGGATTTGTAGCTCATATTAAGATTGATAGGTTGTATTATTATTTTTTTCATTTCTTTTCATTTTGGTTTTAGACCATATAAGTGGAACAGTTGCCTTCTGCACTCAATTCAATAATAACTTGCAAATTTTTGTCATAGAGTCTAGAACAGTGGTCTTATACAAAACGCTTTCCATCTGACAAAAGCTGACAAGGGATGATGCATTTTAGAGGCATATATTGCATTATTTGTATCCTTATATTGGAAATAGTTAAATTGTTTTAGACATTATATCTGTAATAAACCCACAGCATCGCATGTATCTTGCAAGTCTGGTAGTCTGTAAGTATAACTGAACCTGCACAAAAATGTGATGACATATTATGGTTTTGTTTCTTATATTTCCACACATAGACTGCCACATGAGATGTCTGGGGAAAAGTCATTTGTGGAACCTAGGAAAGGTTTTCTTTAGAATTAATTTTTCCCTAAACCACAGCAGCAAAATAGTATGAATTAAAAGAAGCAGCCATATAATCTACCAATATAAGAAACAGGTTTTTTTTTTTTTTTTGATAATTACTATTATTATCAGTAGTTCTAGAGTACTGTTTTTTTTTTAAAGTCTATCAATTGAGAAAGATGCATTTTGAATCAAGACAACATAGTTATGGCATCTACCAGCAGGGGCTTATTGGACTACGTGGCTTCTCTGTACTTAGCAAATTAGCTGAATTATTAACTTTAAATTCTTTATAACTTTCTCTTGTCAACTTGACCATGGCAGCACAGAATATCCTACTTCAATCCAAGTTATGTAACATAAAACGAAAGGATGCTGTTTTAATTTAAAACCATTGCATTGACCCAACATACAACTTACAACAAAACTCAGAACAAACACATTCAAAACATGCACACTTGCCGCTTACCGATTAACAAATTTTAGCGCAACAAAAAAATATGATTTAAGATTTTTTTATGCTTTAAGTTCTTCTTCTTCTTCTTCTTGGCTTTTAACGGCGGCTGGCAACCAGCGTAATTAGGTGCATTACCGCCACCTTCTGCTCCGGAGTGTGGAACAGAGAGTTACATTCTACTTATTAATCCCGTCCTTTTAAGAAAATGAAAGAAAGCTTTACTATTTATTTCACTTGCCCATTTTATTAAAGATTTAAAATGTACCACCTGAATTCCATTCTTCTTGATTTCAACTATCATATTACTTCTTTCTTCCTCATATTTCTTACATTCAAGAATTACATGGGTTACTGTTTCTTCTACTTTGCATTGTTCACATAGTCCATTTGGATGTTTCCCTAATATTTTGAGTGTACTATTAAGATTGGAATGTCCCAACAATATTCTATTATAAACAACCTCTTCTTTCCTTGTTTTACCAATATGTCTTATTTTTTGACTTACTTTGTTAATTAAATTGTAGAAAAATCTACCCTTTTCGTTATTGTCCCACTTTATTTGCCATTCTGCAATAACCTTTTTCCAGATTAAAACCTTAATTTCAGACTTGCTTAGAGGAACTTGTAATTCTATTTCTTCTCTCTGCAAAGCTTGTTTTGCTAACTTATCTACGTCCTCATTTCCCTTTACACCTACGTGTGATGGAACCCAAATAAAACTGATTAAAATATCATTCTGAACCAATCTTGAATATATCTGTAAAATACTAAAAAGAATATCTTGATGACTGGATTTAAAAGACCTTAGACTTTTTAAAACTGAGAGTGAATCAGAACAAATTAAAACCTTTCCAGGTTTATAATCCTCTACCCACTGCAAGGACAAGAGTATTGCTATCATTTCAACAGTATATACTGCCAAATGATTGGATGTTCGCTTTATACTATGAGCCCAGTCAGGAACTAAAAAAGCAGCTCCAGTTGTCTCTCGCTCTGGATCTTTTGAGCCATCTGTAAATATTTGTAAGTATTGAGAATATTGTGTTCTAAAATGTTCAGAGAATGCTGAAGACATGTCTACTTTTCTTTCTGCTTTTTTAATTTCCAACAACTGTAAATCTATATGGGGAGTTATATAACTCCATGGTTCATTTTCAGGAATCACAACTGTTGGGCTCATCTTAAACCTATTTACCTCCATTTCTTCTACATACGCTTCACTACTCCATCCAAAACTTTTTCTACTCAACTTATTTTGTTCCCAACACTTCATTAAAACCATTTTTGTAGGATGATCATCTTTATGACCCTTGAGGTTAGCCCAGTAATTGATCATTAATTGTTTCCTTCTCATTTCCAGTGGAATCTCCCCTAACAGGACTTGTAAAGAAGGAATGGGTGTCGTTTTTACAGCTCCACAACACTGTCTCAAAGCTTGGGCTTGTATTTTATCCAGTTTTTCCAACAGGGTTTTTGAAGCCGAACCATATACCACACTGCCATAATCAAACACAGATCTGATCAGTGCCACATAAATAGTTTTTAATGACAAAAAACTTGCCCCCCATGCCACTCCACTTACACATCTCATGATGTTTAATACCTTCTGACATTTTTCAATAACTTTGTTTATATGATCCACCCATGTAAGTTTTGAATCAAAATAAATACCTAAAAATTTAAAAACTCTAACTCTCTCTAAGGACCTCCCGTACATCTTCAAGTTTATTTCTGGTATAATCCTTTTCCTAGAGAAAATTATAGTCTTAGTCTTTTCTACTGAAAATTTAAATCCCCAATCACCTGCCCATTCTTCTACCCGTCGAATTGCTTCTTGCATCCTTCCATTAATATACAAAATATTCCTTCCCCTTTTCCATAGAGCTCCATCATCAGCGAAAAGAGATCGACCTACACCTTGCTGTTGTACTTGATTAAATACATCATTAATCATTATGGAAAAAATTAATGGACTTATAACACTCCCTTGTGGAGTTCCATTTTCTATCTCACATCTGTTTGACAATTCATTTCCAATTCTCACCTGTATACTTCTGTACGCCATAAAATCTTTAATCCAATTGTAAATTCTTCCATCTATATTCATCATTTTCAGTTTTATCAAAAGTCCCTTCGTCCACATCATATCATATGCTTTCTCAACATCGAAAAATACTGCAATTACTGATTCTTTATTTACCTGAGCTTTTCTAATTTCATTTTCCAAACATACAACAGGGTCCATTGTTCCTCTTCCTTTTCTAAAACCACTTTGATATTTAGTTAATATTCCTCTCTTTTCCAATAAATATGTCAAACGGTCTGTAACCATCCTTTCCATTAATTTACATATATTCGAAGTAAGAGCTATTGGCCTATAATTAGATGGTTTAGAAGGATCTTTGCCAGGCTTTCTTATTGGAATTATTATAGCTTCTTTCCAAGCATTTGGTAATCTTCCTTCCTCCCATACTCTATTATACAAATCTAAAAATTTGCCCATAGCCCCATCTTTAAGATGTTTCAACATTATATTTGTGATCTGATCTTTTCCTGGAGACGACAGTGTATTATTTAAATTACTAATTGCTCTTTTCAGTTCATCTAGAGTAAACAGGAGGTTAACTGCCTGATCTTCTATTCCCCCATTTTTTCCTAGATCTTCTAGATGTTGTCTCTTTGTTATTTCCCTCCTCCTCCTTCCTTCCTCACTCAAATTCCCTGACCCATGGATCTTTTCCTCTCTTCTTCTTCTTCTTCTTCTTTTTGTTCAATGGCCGTTCACTCCTTAGGAGTATTACCGCCACCTACTGTATATCTTGCGCACATGGGTGATAAATCTCTATTGCTATCAATAAAAAATAAAAAAATAAAAATTGTAATGCCCCACCCACCCCAGAGGATTCAAGCTTCAGCTGGCGCTGCCTGTTCAGCTCCTCCAGCTTCCACACTATGCTCCACAGGTGTCCTCAACCTCCGAGATGGGCAGAAGCATCATGATCCTCATCCTCAAACACTAAACCCTGTGGTCTAATCCTGTGAGCTCTAAAAATGTTAAAACCACCTTATATATCTGATTATCACTCAAACCCTTTCCCAGAAGGTCCACGATGCTCACTGGCCCGTTCCTTATATTGCTAAAAAGACTGTTACGCTAGTTTTCATATATACTACATTTAAAAAGCACATGCTCTACTGTTTCAAAAACATCACATTCATCACACATACCATTTTCATGCTTCCCCATTAATGCAAGTGTTGAATTTAGTCCTGTGTGACCCATCCTTAATCTAGAAATCATTACTTCTTCCTTTCTGTGCCTTCCATAAAACTGTTATTTTTCCCCTACTGATTTAACAATATAATACCACCAACCTGTGCTGCTATTTTCCTATCTTTGTTGCCATATTCTTATTATTTTCCTTCTAATTACTGATTTTATCTAATTTCTTCCCAGAGGTACCTTAATGTCCACCTGCTAACTTATCCGCTGTTTCATTCCCTACTATCCCGATATGTGGCGGTACCCAACAAAAGTATACAATTATCTCTTGTTGTTTCACTAGCTAAAGTAAAAGTAATCACACGGGAGGCTCCTTGCGCACTGTAACCAGAGACTGTCTTACTATAGGGAGTTCCATATTTCCATATTTAAATAATTTGCCACTGATGATTCAAACGCGAGTTTTAAGCAGTGTAGAGTAGCGCTTGTTGTTTGTTGTTTCTCCGATCACAACGTTATGCAACGCAACTCGTAAAAAGACAGTACAAGTCATTATAATCAGTAATTATGTCCCCACTGGATGCAACAAATGCCTCGTTTATAATGGGTTTTAATGTTTTTGTCTGGTCGTGCCGGGAGACGGCATCACAGTATGGTGAGGGGCGTAACATTTCCGTCACATGCTTGAGGTATTCGGCCAATCACAACGCACTGGATAGTATTGTGTCATTCTATTATATATTATGTTATTTACTCAATATGGTATTATCTTACTTAAAATATTATGTATGATCATGAAAGTAATCAATATAATAAAAATGCTGAATTATTCCCAATACTGGATGTCTTAATGAGGATTGTATGAGGGCCTTTCCATTGGGCAGTACTGGTGGTTTCCATAGGATTGTACCAGTTGTAAAGAATTGTTCAGCTCTTAGGTGCTAATTAATACCCGGTGGCAACCACCAAAAATTGTCCGATCAGAACAATTAACTTAAGTGATGTTCGTTTAAGAGGAGCTAGATGCACACACCACTCATTGCAAACTTGAACAGTTTAATTAAGTGTGTTTCTTTGATGCACGCACACATGTGATTACTCAATACACATGCGATTACTCAATATTGCGGGAGAACTGGCATTATCATCACCGTTAGGATCGTCTCGCACTAGTAATAATAATGGCGATACTAACTGTACTGAACTGCGTCAGCATCCGGGTCCTTTGCACCTTCTGGGTCCTAACAATAGGCGTATGACTGTCACCTGACTAAATAACAACAGCGAATTAACCATTACAAATATACAAAGAACTGTATGAACATTAAATAACTGGCCCTCAGTTTAGTACAGCCGCCCCCAAATGTGCTTGCAGATTTGTATCTTGGGCCAGTACTCATAGTCATTCAGTGAGTGAAGGGAGCTTAATTAGTCTGACAACAGGTCTGATGTAGGTTCTGTCTTTGACCTGGATTTCTGCAGCTCTTACTTTATTATCAGCTCCGGCCTGGACAGCTTTCACAGTCCCAATGGGCCAGAGTGCTCTGGGGAATTGTGGATCAGCAATCATAACCACTGTCCCTACTGTCAGGTTATCTTTCTCTTGTTGCCATTTCTGGCGAGACTGGAGTCCGGGCAGGTAGTTACGCAGATAACAGCTCCAGAAATGGTCTGCCAATATCTGGCTGTGTCTCCAGTGCTTGCGGCTGAGCAGCTCAGATGCAGGGTAAATTACCTGAGGCAAGGCAGAGTCTAGTCGGCCCATTAAGAGAGAATTAGGGGTTATTGGGTCAGGATCAGCTACATCCGAGGATACATATCCCAATGGCTTTGAATTTAAAATTCCCTCAATTTCAATAAGGACAGTCCTGAGCACTTCCTCAGTGACAGTTTGCGCACCAATGGTGGTGTACAGTGCAGCTTTAACAGATCTGATTTCTCTTTCCCAGGATCCTCCGAAATGCGGGGAGTTTGGTGGATTGTACTGGAAGTCAATCTGTTGCTTGGCAAGTTCTCTTTGTAACTGAGGATGAATATTGTTGAAGGCATCCTTAAGCTCACGATCTCCACCCTTGAAATTGGTACCCTGATCAGAGCACAACTCATGAGGTTTTCCCCTACGGGCGATGAATCGACGTAGAGACATGAGGAAAGAGTCTGTGTCGGCTTGAGAGAGAAGGTCGATGTACACTGCCCTTGTGGTCAAACATTTATAAATGATACCCCAGCGTTTTTCGTTCCGGCGCCCGATTTTGATGGTAAATGGGCCAAAGCAGTCCATGCCTGTGGAGTAAAAGGCTGGCTGGAAGAGTCTTAAACTGGAAGGGGGTAAGTCAGCCATTTTAGGTATATTGGGCTTGCCACGCCACCTTTGACACTCAGTACAGTGATGTTGAATTGATCGAACTGCTTGACGACCTCTCAAGATCCAGAAGCGTCTTCTGATTTCAGCAAAGACCCTTTCAGTACCAGGGTGATGGAGCTGTGCGTCGTACTGCTGAATTAGTAGCTTAGTCACTGGATGAACTGGGTCTAGGACAATTGGGTGAAGAATGTCAGGCCTGAGCAGGTGACATCTTCGGAGTCATCCACCCACTCTAATCAGCTGCATGTCAGAATCAAATTCAGGAGCTAATGTCTTTAGACGACTGTTTGAGATGGGTTTCCCTGCTTGAAGCTGAGCATATTCGTCAGGAAAACTCTCCATTTGAGACTGTTGAATGATTCTGAGCTCGGCTTTCTTATGTGTGTCAGCAGTGACAGTGTCTGTGGGACTGGCCGCCCCATGAAGGGATCTGACTGTTGCATCTACAAGCTCTTGAAAGTTGTCATATTGAGATGTGTTGACTAAATGCTGGTCATCCTGAGTTATTAGAAGATGGAAGGATACTGGTTTACGCAGTTTCTTTGAGGTGTCGGCTGGCACTAGGTTGGGCCAAGACGATGGAGGTTTCTGCAGAAATTCTGGGCCATTCTTCCAGCGGGTAGGTTCAGCTAGCTGAGCCAGTGACATGCCACGAGTAATATCGTCAGCAGGGTTGTCTTGTGAGTGCACGTAGGACCATAAATGTGAATCAGTTAGCTCTTGAATCTCCGCAACTCTAGTTCCTACAAACACTTTAAAATGGCATGACTCTGACTGAAGCCAGTTGAGAACGGTTGTAGAATCAGTCCAGTATCTGAAACTGCTGATATCTAGTGTGAGCTCTCTTTGCAGAACTACTGCCAATTGTGCTCCAGTTAGAGCAGCGCATAGCTTGAGTCGGGGGATTGTTTGCTGCTTCTTTGGAGCTACTCGTGATCTAGCTGCCAAGAATGACATCTCTATTTGTCCTTTGCTATCTTCAGTGCGGAGATAGGCTACAGCACCATACGCTCGCTCTGAGGCATCACAGAATGTGTGCACACTTCTTGAGCTGATCAAGGGATCTACCTTTGTAGTGTAGCATCTGGGCAGTGTGACACAGGAAAGTTGTGGAAGCTCGTCTTCCCATGTGAGCCATGCATTTCTGAGGTCTGTGGGCAGTTCAGGGTCATCCCATTCTCTTTTTTTGTCCCAGAGCCTCTGGACTATGATCTTAGCTCTAGTGGTAAATTGGGTGATGAATCCCATGGATCTGGAAAGGATGCTATATATGTGTCGCATAGTGGGCTCAGTTTTTACGATATGGCCATGTTTATAACCAAGGGTGTCGGATCTGTACTGCCACCTGAGTCCTAGTGGGCACTCCTGGGGTTCGGCCCTGTCTGAACTAAACCAATGCTCATGGTTCTCTGACCTGATTTGCTGTGGCAGGTGTTGCAGCAGTTGGGGAGTGTTACTAGCCCATTGGCGCAGTTCAAATCCACCCTCGGCCAGCAGATTTCGCATGTCATCCACTAATTGTCTGGCAGTCTCAAGAGAGGGAACACTTTGCAACCAGTTGTCCACATAGAAACAACGATCTACTGATACTCGTATCTCACTTTCTGGTTGGCTGTGATCAGCAACATGTTTCCGAAGAGCAAAGGTTGCACAGCACAGGCTGCACGTGGTACCAAATGGTAACACTGACCACTGGTAGACATCAGGTGCGTTGATTGGTTTCAGGTCTCGCCACAGGAATCGCAAGAATGCTTGGTCTTCTGGTAGGAGACGTACCTGATGAAACATCCCCCTTATGTCGCTGCTAATGGCTACTGCATACTCTCGGAAATGGAGAAGTACTCCCAGCAAGGTCGCACCCAGAGTTGGCCCAGGAAGAAGATATTCATTCAAGCTCAGCCCTTGGAAGTTGAAAGAACAATTGAATATGATCCTGTTCTTTCCGTTGTGGTGGACCATGTGGTGTGGAATGTACTATCCTGGAGTCTGTACAGCTGTGGATTTGGGAAGTTTCTTCACATAGCCTGATTCTAGCAGCTTGTTCATCTCAAACTTGTACACTTGGGATTTCTCAAAGCTCTGTGCCAGCTGATTTTCAGTCCTTCGCAAATGAGGCAGTAGTGCTTCCTTTGGAGCAGC